GGATGCTGATCTGGGGTACCTGTGTCTGCATCGTCATAAGATGCAGGCCAACTGGCATCAGTACATTGAATGTACGAGTATGCGAGCTGGAAAGCTAAACCACAACTTAAGCTTGAAAAGAGTACAAGAGAACACTTACCTTGGCTCTGTTCAACTCATGAATAACTGAACTCAATATATAAAGCAATAAGACACATGCGATATATAAAGCTTGTAAAACTCTTAAAACATGACGTAAAAATCATATTTATAATATCATGAAAATACCATGCTTCCTCTCGAGGTCTACTTGTGCAATGTATGAATGAAGTCCCATACCCCCATCCACACTAAGCATAACCCTCGAGGAACCAAGCTCTTTTTTTCACTGTGGGAGCTTCTCTAACCGACAAACCACCACTATGAATTTGAGTGGTGATACAACGTTTACCTCACGTTGCTCGAGGACCATCTTATACCTTGCCGTGATATAGGAAGCTAACTTTACTAAGTGTATCCATAGCTTAACTTTACGGGTTCATCTAAAAAGTATGACCCGTTAACTCCCATGTTGGCTACATGGTTCTTATGGAGAGTTGAGTTTAATATGAACTCGCGTCCCCAAATCGGTGCTCGATACAACTCCCAAAATACTTTAGCTCATAAGTGTTTTAAACACATTTTTCTTTAGTTGAGATAATTACTCAAAATCTAGCCCAGAGGCTCACTTGAAAAAGATGTTCCTTTTTCTTGAAAACTAGCCCAAAGGCTCTTTGGGAAGTCATATTCCCTTTCTTACTCAAATGAAAAAAAAACATTTAGAAACTTCTTTGGGAATACATAGTTCCCTAATAGCTTTTGAGAAATGAACTCAACTTAAACTCTTGTCTTGACAAACTTAAGACTCTTTACTTAGCTTGAAACTCTAAGCTTTTTACTTGACTTGAAACTTGAGTCTTAAAATGAAGTGAAAACATTCAATAAAGACTCTTGAACAACTTTGAAACTTGCTTGAACTAACTTCTTAACTTTGCTTGACTTCTAACTCTCCTTGAATTGAATCATGAATTCAAGGTGTTTAATCACATGTTACGGATGAGTTCGGGAGGCTTAAATGTACCTTAGAGTGTTGGAAACAACCATAAAACATAGGTACAATACCAAGGAACATGCATGGGAAAGTATGAAATGAAAGGGGGCACTTGGTGTCCTTGGCGCTCTGCAAGGCGCGGAGCGCCAGCCCCAAAACTTCAGAGGGGTCTTGCTGGCGCTCTGCTAGGCGCGGCGCCCCAAGGGGAAAAATTCAGAACCCCTTTCGGGGTGCGCTGGCAGGCGCGACGCGCCAACTCCTTGCCCAGAAA